TCTTTCCCTCTACCCATCCCAAATTCAGTCCTCTTTCTGTTACTTCCATCTTGTTGACAGCACTGTTAGGGAGCTTCTTACATCCTGCCCCACCCTCCATTCCTATGTCCCAAGGGGGTATATTATCTACTAACAGTGGATAACCACCACTGGTCACCACTTGGGAGAAACTCAAGACGGAACCTGATTTCTTTTCTCCTTTCTCTGCTGCACCAGTGAGAAGAGGCGGTAGGGAAGGAGTGTATCTGCTATGCAAATTCAGACTTCCCCTCAGGTGAGCTGTCTTGGAGGGATGTATTAAATAAGCCACCTGTGGGTCTTTCATTGAAGCATATTCTGCTGCTTTAACAGTTTGTATCAATACTAAAGGAACATTTTCTTCTTCATCTGATTATTTTGTCTTATTGTGAACAGGAAGGAAGTGTATTGTTTATTGTCCTCCCCTAAAGTCCCAAAACAGACATTTTTTCGTAATAGATGCCTACCTTAGAACCTGACGTCCACCTTAATCCTCTCCCTCATTATAGCCTGTCATTTAAAATCTCAAGAATTTCCTGATTCAGTCTGTGTTGTCTATTTCCTCTCTCACTGCCCTGGTTCAGCATCTCATTTTCTCCTACCTATAAAACACCAGGATCTTCTTATATAGGTTTCCTGCCCAGAATCTTTTGTTTGCATCCCATTTCCAACATTGCTATTACAGTGACTTTGCTAAGTAAACCTGACAGTCACTCTTCAGTTAACAACCTTCCTGATTGTTTAATGAGGCTTGGATTTATGATCAGGTCTCCAGCATGGGGAATCCCTCTTCTCAGCCTGTGCATCTCAGGAATCCCCTTGGCTAGTCTTTGTCCCGTTCCTGCAGTTGTTAGTTTTCACTACATGAAGCATTTCCAATCATGCAAGACTACATATTTCGTTAATAAATTTGTACTTCCTTGTGTACCCCTACTAGTATTTAGAATAAATAAAAACAGTCACGCCAGATTTGTATCATTGTATCATGGTGTGTCTTGTTACTTTCTGACACTTACCTAATGCATGCTTTTGTGTGGATAGAATTACATTATTCTAGGGACCAGCATAGTGTAATGGCTATGTCGCTGGACTCCCATGTAGTTGACCGTGGTTCGCGTCCCGGACCTGGTGGCTTAAAACTCACGCTGGGCGCATGTGCATGCATGCCCAAGATCCCGAGAGGGGAATGGAGGAGAAGGGATTGCGGCGTGGCCATCCCCCCTGGGAGGTGGTTTCTCGCTTTCTGTCTCTCTGTCTCTCTCTGTCTGTCTGGCGATCGCACGCGCCCTATAGCAAAAACCTCTCAAAAAAAAAAAAATAAAGGAAAAAAGAAAAAAAGAATTACATTATTCTAGTAAGGTGTCCAATGTGATAGCTACTGAAAAATATCCATGGTGCCAGGACACACCACAAAATGCCATTAACCTTCTTGCTCATCAACCATTTGCTTAACTACCTAGTGGGAGGAACAGCTAAATAGTGAGGAGTGCCTGTAGTCTCCCACTTTTTTTTTTTCCTATTTTGCCAGAAGGCATATGTGCTCACTGGAATGAGAGAGAGAAAGTGAGAAAGCATCCCCATGGAAGACGGTCATGCCACAATTCTTTCTCCTCCATTTCTCCCTCCTTTTGGGACTTTGGGCACTCTAACACATGCGCCCCATATGTTTCTCAAGCTGCTGGGTCTGGAACTGATACCATGCAGTCAGTCGTATGGGATCCAGCCACCTTAACCAGCATGCCATGGCTGGCCCTCATCTCCCACTTGTAAATCTCTTCAACTATTCTCAAAGCTCATAGGAAAAAAGCATAAATTTCTTAGCTTGGTATACAAAGTCCTTTATCATCTGACCTCTGGCTCTCCCTCTCCAGCAGCTGTTCCAAGATGACTGAACTTCCTCATTTCTACACCTGAATCACCTCTAATTCCTTATACGCCCACAATTTATCACACACATTATTTACGGTACTTAGCCTACTCTCCCGGTCCACTTATTTCATCTTTTAAATACAGACATGTGGCTCTTTATCTTTTGTAGTTCCCTTAATGCCTTGAAGACCAAACAAAAACAAAAAACAAAACACAAAAACAAAACCAAGTCACTGAATGTTAAAAACAATAACTAACATCTAGAGGCAGTTTCTGAGCTAATAAGTATTTTGAATGCTACTAGCTCATTTAATCATTGTAACGACTCAGTGGTAGATACTATTTGTTAGTCTCATGTTATAAGTGAAGAAATGAAATAAGTAACTTGCCCAAGAAGGTCAAATAGCTACCAATGCACTAGAATTTAAATTCAGGCATATTGACTCTAAAGACTGGGATCTTGAGCAGTATCTTAAACCTACTTCTATGGTCACATTTATCAAACTGACTTGTTTACATATTTGTCTCTCCTTCTAGACTGTTCTGGAAGGACAGAGTTTGTGTCTTATTTATCCTTGAATCTCTAGTACCAGAAGAATGTCAGCATTCATTCAATATCCATAGGATCAGAAGAATTTCTTTTCCCCACATAATGTTGGAGCTCTGCAGTAGAATCACAATGAGGACAGTGCTGATAAGAACCCAACAATTTGTGAAGCACAGTGTCTAATAGTTTCTAAAGGAACAAAACAAGGGACACAACAAGAAAAGAAATGGAGTCCCAGAGGGCACGCCTCAGCAGGGTTGTTTTGAAACTATGACCTTAAGTAATATATGACGAGCAATAAATGTGTGATGATGAACTGGCTAGGTGGTACAGTGATAACACTGCCCAAATGATGCTGGATCCATATGGAAGATCATAGGTTCGGTTCCCTCCTTGGCTTGTACATGCCAAGTATGTACACCATG